TGCGTATCTTCTGTATCTTGGATGCAAAGGTAAGAGTCAGCAAAGAATTCAAAGTCTGATGGCAGAACCAGTCAGGAAAATCAGGAGCACCTAGGTCGTAGCTGAGTCTGGAATGCAAGGCCTTTCCCATTTTCCAGTGGGACACATTCTGCTAGCCCACATCTTCTCCAGTCTGCCATGTGATAGGAATCATGGGGAGTGCTTGTCAGACCTACCCATGCCAAGCCCTGCCCTGGATCTCCTGAATCTGAAGGTACACCAACCGGACCTGGGATTCTAGATGTTTAACAAGTGCCCAGATGAACCCCATCACAATGCACCAACAGGGTTTCCCTGTGCCAGCCAAGGTCAAGGATCTCTCACCTCTTACTGCCCTATCTCAGTGGGTAGCTTCCACCATTGGCTTAACAGTCCCACATCACACCGTTCAGGGAAGAGCCTACATCAGCATTGCTCAGCATAGAGTCAGCGACACAATTACTGACTTGAGCTTTAAAAAAAAAAAAACAAAAACCTAAAAATAAGAATCCCAGGCCCCACTTAACCCAGCTGTATCAGAATCTCTGAAATTGAGGGTTTCTTTTTTCAAGTTCCACAGGGAATTCTGATGAGCAGTCAGTGTTGAAGACCACTGCCAACCTGGGTCCTTTCAGAACCCTCCTTGCCTGTAATGAGGTGAGGGAGAGGCTTGGGAGTATCTCTGGAACCCATGGTGCATGGTGCCACTATTATCATGCTATGCCCTCTCTCTGGCCATGTTCACGCCCAACATCTTAGATTCAGGTAGGAAAAAAAAAATGCCACAAAGGTGTTACAAAGCAGACCGCTCCAGGATGGTGAGATTCACAAATTTTCCAAAGGACAAAGCAAAACAAAGCTCAATAACTGTCATGTCGGATTGTGTGTACCTCATACTATTGTAATCACATCACACTTCTGCCCCTCCTATAATCTCACCAGCATGCCTTTGTATTCACTTACGCATCTACTAAGGCAGTTTTCCTCCCATTTAGCTGTTTAGCCGAGCCTATCTTCTTGGCTCCGGATATGGGAGTCCCTGGAGGGTGGGGATCTTGTTCCTTTGTCATGTCCCCAACACCTGCATAGTCTTCGGACGAAGCAATGCAGTTAGTGCCGTGCAACTGACACGTCTGGCTGTCAGTGCAGAGCTCTCCCTACCACCTGCAGCGTCTCTCCCCCTGTGCGTGCACAAGAGTGATCGGCGTGACATTCAGGAGACAGAAGAACACAGGCTTCTGTAAGTGGCATGTCCTGGCACACTGGCTTCTGGGGAACTCCAGAAACCAAAGAACATGGGTGATGATATAATGTTCCATTGGCAGCCACTAGTCTTGTAGCTTTCACAATGTATGTATCTTTCCAGAGCATCAGGAAATACTTTGGCACTTTGGGGATGGATGCCAGTTCATCTTTTATTTTCTGTCTTGTGCTGAAATAAGGAGTGAGTCAGAAGCAGCAGAAAATAAGCCCTCTCCTTGCAAGTAGATTCCTTTGACACTACTTTAAAAATCTGCATAGCAAGCTTCATGCTAATCGCTTTCAGTGATGTTTGCCTAATGACGCCCAAGCTCTTACAAATTCATTATGAGCCCTCTCTGCTTCCCTTTTATTACTATGCTGTCCTTTTCTCTTTAATTAGTAATGCTCTGGATTCAACGCATAACTTGACAGGTAACTTAAAAGGAACATTTGTAAAAAGTTCTTTTCTCCACAAGGTCAAGATTGTTCCCGTTATTCATAGTAGCTTTCATGTTCTCTGAATTTTATTATGTTTCCTTAAAATATTTGAAGGTGTTGTATTTTGGTGTTCTTGGATGAAATATAATTATTGGGTACTGGTATTTAGTTGCACATTTCATCCAGGCTGGGTATTTTGTGTTTCTCAAGTATATCTCACACAGTACTGAAAATAATTCTTTGGTGGAGTAATTAGAGCACACGTAGGTGCTTAAATAGTTATCGATGGAACAATTGAGTAGGACCTTCACTTTAGCTAAATCTAGCAGGTTGAATTTCTGCCTTTTTTGGTTTTTACACCATTTTCTGGACTCCTGTCTTTCATCATTTGTAACAGCACCTCAGTGACTCTGTCCAGACTCTCCCTAGCCCATCCGTATTACTGAAGAGAAGCACCCCAGGCCAGCTTCACGCACCTGGTAATCTCGGGATGCTGATACCTGCCTGTATTTTCCAGAGACCAAGCCCAGGGTCCTTTAATCTTCCTCTGTTTGTAATGTATAGCTACCAAAATGCATATTCAGTATGTGCTTTGAGGCTTATGAAATAGAATCTTAAAAAGCAATAATCCATCACCATAAGAAAAAGGTTTCGTTTAGTGTATCCCTGCAAATAATAACAGCATTCCCTCTTTCCCTTTCCAGCACCAGCATGACTCCATTGTGAGATACAGGTGCACGGCTCTGAAGTCACTCTATCTTAGGTAACTACAGACAGGCAGTCTATTAACTAAAGCCTGAGAATGGAGCACAATTCTTCTATTAACTATTTATTAAGTCAACAAGCTGAGAAATGACTTCATTTTTCTTTCTAATGTGCAGCAGTTTTATGCATTTAGCGGTATTATTCCTCGAACAGATGTGTCTTTTCAAAGTAATCTTACTTTCCCATGAACCTAGGATTTTTTCTTAATTGTATGCTTCTAGTTTGCAACAGCTTCAGAAGGTGTTTCTGAACACACCACTGAGATTGCTCCATACTGAGAGCCAAGTGACATGAAAACCACAATATCATTGGGAATGCGGGCCGCCAGCTCCCCACATCAAGCACCCAATTAGTGCGTATTCTTTGGCTAAATACACTCGGCAGCCAGTGCAGCCATCCTCAGCTCTTTGATTTCCAAAGCCTTAGAAATACCTGGGAGTTATTTGAATGTGGCAGTATTAGAACTACAAAAGAGAAACAAGAAGCATTCAGTCAGTCAGCAAACTGCAGAATTTGACAGCAAAGACACTGAAGGTTGTATCAAATTCCCTCCACGTTAGTGTTTTGAATACCTTTTTTTTTTTCACTCAGCACTTCCCTTTATCAATAAAAAGGAGCATTCACAAAGAATCAGGCAACTACGATTACTTTTATGATTTCCTCCACGCCAAGCATTAACAAAGCAAACCGTGCCACTATACTTTTGAAAGGTACCAATGGCAGCATGGCAGCGGACAACCAAATTGACACCAATTTTTTCCTATAAGAAGGTATAATCAGCTCTTGGGTCACCTTCAAAATATGGTCCCGTGCTTCCCCTGGAGTCGAGTTACCGTGGGAGCAAGTGACTGAAAAAGCAAGGAGAGGAAATAAAAGGACGGTTCGGTGGAAAAGCTCGGTGCTGCTCTCCTGGCCCACCTCTCTGCCCAGTGCAAGGTCATGGAAATTTAGTGTGAGCCCAAGTGGTTCTTCAGCGGCAGACAGCAACAGGCGTGATCCTGGCACAAGCCGGCGTTTGTCTGACAGCTGCATGTGCTCCAGCCAAAAAGCTGCAGTAAGCGATCTGCCCAGGTCTGCTCTGCAGAGGAAGGCTCACCCTATAATGTCCCACTGAGTCATGAGGTCAAGGAAGAATTCCACTGAAGTCTTTAAATAGCCTTGGCTCCAGCAAGCTAACAGGGGTGAGGCTACTGGAGTGTGTCTGTGTGTGCCTGGCAGGGACACGCACATCTCGGTACTGTAGGAGGGGGCGTTTAGAGGGGACTTCTTCAGCGGCCTCCCAGCGATGCTGGTAAGATCTGTTTGCAGTGGTTCAACAGAAAAGCTCATGCACGAACGTGCTAATGGAACTCTGGTATCTGATGCTAACAGCAGGAATTGGCTTCCCTCTTTCAGGAATGGGAAAATTGACTTGGGGGTCCATTGGGAAAATCACTTTTCCTATGGATAAGTTACGTGGACCCCTTTGAGCAGCTCCACGCTGAAGTTGCCTAAGCTCGGAACCTGAGAGGGTGCTACCCACCGCCCCAGTGCTTTGCCACTCTTTCCCGAGTGGGGTGGGGGGTGGGAGATTGGGACAAGATGGCTGGAGTGAATGGGAAGGGATGACTGGCTCACCCCAGTCGTGTCCTTCGGTCACTGTTCTTTGGTTACTGAGGCTTCGGGGCTCAATCTAGTCTACACTGTCCACTGTGGCCTTTGCTTACATTTCCCTTCAGCAGGGATCACGACCTGCCATATAGTGTAGAAACCCACGTGGGTCTGTCTCTTTCACCAGACCATGAGTTCCTTGGTAGAAGCAGCAGGGCGTTATTCCTCTTGAGCTCCTAGCCCAGTGTCCAACCTACAGAAGAGAAAGGTCTAAGAAAGATAAGTTTAACTAAATTAAACTAAGGGTATTAAGAAATTAAGCAAGTCTTGATATCGTTTGCTATATTCTGTAGACAAATCAGCCCCCAAACCTGAGCAGTTGGCTCTCCATTGATCTGAAAGGACTGTATTTTCTTCACTGCCATCTTTTCTTTGGAATTTCTTTACCTCAAAATAAATGGTTATGTCTTAGGGGCTCTTGGCTCTTGGCTGCTGTGACAGCAGTAAGATCCAATGACCCTGGTGGCAGGAATTCTATAATTGCTCATCCTAATGTCCATGTTCATCTAACAGCTGTGTACTCCTAGAATTAAAAGCAAAACAAACAATATTTTTACAGAGCCTTTTGTCCAAAGAGCTTTTAAATGTCACCAAACTCATTTTTAAAATGTCCACGTGTAAAAGCCAAGTGGCAGATATTACCCTCCTTTGAATGTGAAAAGGGTAATTACTTTCTTGTGTGTGACTTGCCTGTACCTTACCTCCTCCTTCCTGCCATTTGGCCATTTCCCCCTCAATTATTAGCTCACCCCTGAAGGGCAAATCTAGTAAGGGAGGAGACGAGAAAATAGAATCAGATGATTTAACTATCGGCTGGTGTCTCTAGAAAAGCTCAGGGATATGAGGGTGGGTGCCAGGGGATTGGGAAAGAAGGTTGAAACTGTGCATTAAAATTGGTTTGTATTTATTATCTGATAGCCCTCATGCTATTCCCGTCACTCACCAGCAGATGTAAACATGAGCAGCTGGAGGGTTACTGTACAATCATTTTAGAGACAGATTTGTTATGATTGTTTCCCTCAGAACTCAGGGGAGAAGCTCTGCCCAACCCAGTCATTGCCAGCAGAGCAGTCCTCCAGCCTGCTCTTTGGTCCCCAGTAACGCTTGATCAAGGCTGACGTAGAAGCATGTCTCGCTGCTGCTCCCTGACTGCAGGCTGCCAGTTCAAGGGCTGAAACCAGATGGTGTCAGTGTCCTGTACCATACTGGGCCCACAGCACATCCTTAGCAAGTATCTGACTTCTGAGTTCCCTTGAATCAGACCGGCTGCCTCCTATTCCAAGGGCTGAATCCCACTGCTCCTCGGAAGAGTCAGAACGGTTTCTCTTCGGAGAAAACCCAAGACCCATTTCCATTTATGTTTGGGATGAGATGAACATCACATCAGGGGGCTTCTCAGGCACATACAGAGGTAAAAGCAAACACCTCCATAGAATGGGTGTTCGATACCATTCAGCAAATACAAACGCAAGTGCTAACCAACAAGAACAGTAAGAGCAGAGAGCTGAGACTGGAGCAGTACCCAGCCGACAGGTGTCCACGAGTTGGCGACTGGCTGTGCTTCCGGGGCCCAGTCAGTTGTGCTTTTTGTCCTTGAGGTAACTGAAGAGCATCTCGAGGCCCCCCTCTACCAGCTCCGGCAGAGGCTTGGATAATGGGTTATGGGAAATGTGGAGCCCTTTGTCCATGGGGTTCCAAGCAATCCGCCCCAGTCTCCACAGCAGGTAGAGCTCGTCCGGGAGGGTCTGGATGTCATTGTTGTTCAAGTTCAGCAGCTCCAGGCCGGTGAGCAGGCAGAGCGACCGCGGGAAGGAGTGGATGTTGTTGCTCTCCGCAATGAAGATCTGCAGGCTGACCAGGCACTGAATGCTCTCGGCGATGTTTTCCAGGCGATTGGAGCCCACGTGCAGGAAATCCAGCTCCTTCAGCGCAAACACACAGATGGGGATGTGAGCAAAGTAGTTGTTGCTGAGGTTCAGCTTCCGCAGTCTGGAGAGGTCAGCGAGGCTGGCAGGAAGCTGGGAGAGGCAGTTGTGGGACAAGCTCAGGACCTCCAGGCTTCTGCAAGCGCTCAGCTCAGCCGGCAGCTCCGTCAGGCAGTTCATGTTCACGAACAGGACCTTCAGGCTCTTGAGGAGGCTGATTTCTTGGGGCAGGCTCCGCAGGCGGTTCCCGCATAGGTTCAGGACCACCAGCCGACTCAGCTTCCCCACATCGGGCGGGAGAGCCCTGAGCTGGTTGTGAGATAGATTGAGCTTCTGGACCTCAGACAAGCCCCACAGAAAGTCGGGGATGTCCGTCATTCCCTTGGTGACCAGGCTGAAGCTGACGTGGCGCATGCCCCGCTTCAGCAGAGCCCGGGGGTCCTTTCCCAAGAGCAGGCTGTCATCCCACGGGGAGAAGGGCTGCCTCCCGCGCAGGAGCACCATCCTCCTGGGGCCCTTGTCCCTGCAGTGAGCGCTTGACGGCTTGGCCCCCATCTTCCTTCCTTTTCACCCACTGGCCTCTGGGGAGGCTGGGAGGGTGTCCCCCAGCTGCTGAAAGCTGAGCTGTCGCCCGCAGGGAGCTCACGGAGAAGTCTCAGCGGGGCCTCGCAGAGGCCCGAGCCACCCCGCCGTGGTCCGGCCCCGAGGGCGGGTTTAGGTGGCTTCTCTGGGAGCAGCCAGGCTGTAATGGTATACTTGTCCCTGAGACTGTGGAACTGAACTGCTCGAGTCCCTCTGAATGCCACAAGACAGCTGTCACTGTCATTCGGCCCCTGTTTTATTGGCCCTGGTGTGTGCAAAGAGGTCACAGGGAGGCTGCATCTAACTTTCCCTTCTCAGCTTTTCTTGGGTATCGGAGCTGAGCAGGTGATAAGCCAGCCCATCTCCAAAAAGCAGCAAAGTGGAAAAATAAAGCCGACTGTACAAGTGCCAAACTGTGTGCGTGGCCGTGGGAACTCATCCGGACCCCTTCAGAGTGACCGTGAGCTTCAGGAACGCTAGTGACAGAGTACGTTTCCAATGGCAGGGATGATCAGATGATATGGTACACACCCGTTTCAAACTTTGTTGAGTTGCATGGTTGTGAAAAAGTCATGGGAGGAGCCTGGACACCTGCAATCCTCCGGGCCAAAGGTTTCTGCACGGTGCTTATCACAGGTGACTCAGTGAGGAGAGAGTGAAGGGGCCCAGACGCCCCACGCTCATTTCAACCAGAGACGCTCTTCAGTCATCTGTTTCACTCTGGGCTTCTGGGTGGAGTAAGGCACGCTTTAAATGTTTTGAACGGCCACTTGAGTGGCTGTCTTAGTAAGGATAGCACAGGGTGCCCACTGTCCTTGAAGAGCTCAACCGATCAATCTCTCTTCCCTCCCCTCCCTCTCTCCCTCCTTCAACACATTCTTTCTTGAATTAAAACAGTTAATTTATACCTCTAGGTATGTAGAGTTAATTATTGGCATCATGGGCTGAAAACTGTTCCCCCAGATTTCAAATGTTGACGTCCTAACCCCACCCCCCCAACCCGTACCTCAGATGTGACTGTATTTGGAGATAGGGCCATGTGAGGACACAGGGAAGAGACAGCCATCTGTGAGCCAAGGACAAAGGCCTCAGAAGCAACCAATCCTGCTGATACCTTGATCTGGGCCTTATAGCCTCCAGAAGGATGAGAAAATAAACTTGTGTTGTTTAAGCCACTCACTCTGTGGGGCTTAGTTACGGCAGCCCTGGCAAATGGTGGAGGAGGAGGCGGACACATTTGCATAGATGAAAAATCCTAAAACTAGGTAGTGATTAAGGAGAGAAGAGATAGCAAGGGTGAGGATCCAGGTTCTGGAAAAGGGCTTGCGGTCTGGAGCGAAGGCTGGTTGGTCCAGAAGTGTGTGGTTTTTGCTGGCAGCCCTCGGCACAGCAGTTGGGGGTCCTGGAGAGTGATGCTTGTCCTATGACCGTGCTCCCAGAGCTGTGACCACAAAGCCAGGAGCTGGAGCTGAGCCCCGGCTGGGCGGTGCCTGGGGAACCTGCAGGTCCATCCACACAGTGGCCAACCTCTGGGCGGGAGGATCAGCAGGAGGTGCAAAACAATGCAAGGCCATTTCTCCTTCTGCTTGGCATTGACCCACCCAACAAGCCCCTGGGATTCTTAGGCAAAGGTGGCTACTTTGGACATTTTTTTTAATGGAGTACTTGAGTGTTCTAGCTATTACCTGGGGTGGGGTGGGGTGGGGGTGAGGGAGGTAATGTGCTAAATTTGTACCCTAAGTTTTAGGAGCATACTATGCCTAATATATGTAACTTTTATCTGACAACAGGGTTTTGCTGTTAAAAAAAAAAAAACGTAGGGGCGCCTGGGTGGCTCAGTCGTTGAGCATCTGCCTTCGGCTCAGGTCATGATCCCAGGGTCCTGGGATCGAGCCCCGTGTCGGGCTCCCTGCTCGGCGGGAAGCCTGCTTCTCCCTCTCCCACTTCCCCTGCCTGTGTTCCCTCTCTCGCTGTGTCTCTCTCTG